TCTCTTTGTCTCTTTCTTTTCCCCTCTTATCAGTGACTCTCACTCAGGGTTCCTGGCTGAAGTGAATGCCTTATCTTCTTATCTTCCTCTAAATCCTGGGTGTACCTTTCCCTGAGCCTCCCTGCACCCTCTGCTCTCTCAACTGTTTGTTCCTTTAACTATTTATGTGGGGTTGACCAGCTCTCCTTTTATGTTTTTTTAAATAACTTTATACATTTTTTTACCTCCTTAAAACTCTCCTGTTCTACCTTTTATTGCCCAGAGAAGTAGAGTAGTACTCTCAACACCTGAAGCTCTTTCCAATGCTCTTCTGGGCTGCTTTGGTGTATTCTGTGGACATCTGAATTTGCGTCCCTATTTGACCTCTCCTACACCCACTATTTTACCACTTTTGGTCTTCTTTGCATCAAACTGACCATACCAAGCTATAGACATGAGGGCATAATAACAGTTTTGAACTCTTTGACCTTTAGTCAAATTGGAGTGGAGCCAGTCTTTATGGGCCCTGCTGTCCATTGTTGTACATAGCTAGAAATGCACCTGAGCCAATATGGCGGCCAAGCAGGAATATCACTGTGTGTACTTGTAGTAAAGCACATCCAGAGCCTTAAAGCATAGCCCTGCCAGCTAACTTCTGATTGGTTCCTTGTCATTAGGAGGGCATCTGACCTCCTAGTGACCAGGGCAGGCCCAGCAAGGTCAGGTGAGCATGTTAGCCTGTCATGGCTGCCAAAACGGGGGTCTGGTCCCTTCAGACCAACTCGTCAGCTATCTGGGCCCAGATCCAGAGCTTCAAGTTAAGTCAATCCCAACACCTATTCCATCTCAGAGCTGCTGGACCTGGAGGAGCTGGCTCTGCAGAGCCAGATCTGGGGGCACCACTATCAAAGATGAAAACCTAAAGCGTGGCTGTGAAGGAAGGAGTCTCAGCAATGGTCTACTATTTATGGTGCTTCAGAGACCAGAAGCCTCGAACCAGCCCATTGACTCGAGGCAGAGAATATCTGCATGGAGAGCTGTGTGTGGCGGGGGGTGGGGGGGGGATAAATTAGATATGCAGAGTGATGCACTACAGTTTTCAATGTCACTGCTACAAATGAATTTGTATTTGTATGGAGGGGTGGAAAGGATGGAGGAACAGAGCAGTGTATACCAGGTATAGGGAGCCTGAACCATGTCAGTGTCCAAGGCCTAAACTTAGCCCGTGGAGGCCATGTTGATGGGTACGGCCTGTGCTCAGCCTGAAGCCATGTTGATATTCGTTGCAGCTTGGGTTGCCTCATGTGGATGTCTGTGGTCTGTGGTGCCACCTGAAGCCATGTTGACATTTGTGGCTGGGGTATGTGTTGACACCAGAGGCCAGGTGAATGTCCTGGGTCCATGATGTCACCAGAGGTCATGTGAAATCCATGGTGTGTGTCCCTGTTGACTGTAAAGGACAGGGCGTATCTTCTGCAGTGTAGCAATGCCTGCAGACTACAGTGGAGAAAGAGGGACACAGAAGGCTTCTGAGACCACGTCCCTGCCATGACAACCTAGACAGGAAGTCATCGAAGAGAACGCTTAAACATTGAGCTAAAAGTCCCTAAAGCGTAGCTCTCCACATAGATGTCTACTGATGGGGGTGGGGTGGGGTCAAGGACACACTTTTCTTTAAGGGTCTGCATACAGGGAGTTTGAGCATGCTCCAGTGACTATAAAGTCAACACAGATTGGACTTGTTCCCTACCCCTTTTTTAAAAAGATCTTTTTGGGGTGAGGGCGGGGAGAAGGCCACAAGGGTGGACCTGGAAGGACTGGGAAGAGTGGTCTTGGTGCTTTAGGTGAAATTCCCAAACAATCAATAAAAACATAACCATATATGACTACACACACACACACACACACACACACACACACACACACACACACACACACACACGGTTCAATCAACAGGGATCTAGAGATGGTAAGGAACTTGGTGACTTCTCTGAGTCCTCTGTGTGGGACCTTTCCCTCTCAGCCTGTGGCCGCTAAGTCCCAAAGGGAAAAGAGGCAGAAAGAAGTGTCAGAAAGCTTTGCACAAGGTCCATGAGCAGGAACAGAGACAGGCCCAGGCCGCTGGGAGACACTTTTCAATCATTCAGGGAGGATAAGGCATATGTAGTCTTGGGGAGCCTGGAGACAAACCCTCATTTGCATTAAGTGGCATCCTCCTCTCCCAAGCTTAGTATGTGGTAGCAGGTCCTAGAGCAGAGCTCCTAGCGTAAGTCTTCTCAGCAGGGATCTGTGTCAAGGGTCAAGCTAATGAAGAATCAGGCATCCGGTTTGCAGACAGCTTTTAGATAACTGGCCCAGGGACAGTCTCCAGATAAGGGTGGGTCTAGAGCAGGAAGCCTCTCTGGGAGGGGAGGGAGCTTCCATATTGCTGATCCTAGATAGCTGCTAGGATAAGGCAGACTGTGACCTCTAACCATCCAGCACTATTCCAACAGAGACTTCAAAGACTGGTTGTAGTGGCTAACTGTGAGCTGTTGGCCGGGGAAGCCCTCAAGGCCCCACAAACAATAAAAACTATTGCTACTGCTGTTGGGTTTTATGTCAGAATTAGATGGAAAGGCCCTATAGCTAAAGACACTGTAGCACATGCTTTGAGTGCAGAAATGGGGAAATTAAGGTGGGGATGAACTGCAAACTCCCACCTTCCTGGTGGGCTTCCATAGTGTCGGAAGGAGCCATGCAGGCTGCTCGTGGAAAATTGTCACCAGCATTCCTGCTTGGCTGTGGACCCCGCATGCTAAATTACAAACATGTCAGGTAGATGTGCCTGGTTGTGCAATAGTGGCCAGAATAAAAAAAAGTCAGGAACTGCAGCAGTGCAGGGGAGTGGGGGATGGGGATCAGAGATTCCCACGCTCAGCTTTGGTTTCACTCACTAGTTCTGTGGCCTTGGCCTATCATCGTAACACCTATTATGAAAAAGATTTTAAAATACCAGCATTAAAATAAATGTCTCTTCCGAAGTCAAAGACTACTTAAAGCTTCCACTATCACCAGTGAATTCACGCAGAACTGTGCTTTTGCCATCACCGAGTGAATGAAATAACCAGCATCCGCTCCATTCCACAGCAGGTGTCAGGGCTGTCTGCAGCTAGGCTGTAGATGAAGGGCTTGCCTTTCAGGTCTGGAACTCAGGAGCATCGCACACCTTTCGCTAGTCTGCTCTTTCTGACCTGACAATGCTGGGACCACAGCTTGTCCTTGACTAAGAATGAAGATGGGACTGCCTGAGAGTCATGGGACTTACAGGAATCAGAGCCCTTTGTATTACGTTGTCTAACTTTTACTATGTGGAGTGTGATCTCTTCTACCCTAAAACTCTGCAAAGAATCAAGTGCAGACTTTAGAAACAGAAAACAACCTGCCATCTCAGTGGGTGAAGCGTTAGAACTAAGGCCACTCTTACTGTCCCTTCTTCCAATGAAGAAACGTGCTGCTTAATTAAACCCATCAATAGTTACAACTTCCCAACGGAGCTTATGCTTCTGTCTGTTAAATGGTACACTTGATAAAGATATTCCAAAATTTTAAACAGGAAACACTGTCTGTACATGCCATTGACATGTCAATATTTCCTGAACCCTTTGATATGTGTTATTCCAGAGTTCACAAAATAAGACTAGTCAACCGGTGGTTTTAGATCAAATCATTTAATCAGTAGTCCATTCCATTCTAATTTACATTCAGCTCCCAGAAGAAAAAAAAAAATCACCAAATACTCATTTTAGAAAAAAAAAGACTGAAATCACCCATTTCATGACCTCACCACATGCTCACATCTTTGCTTTGTTTCTGTTGGATGTTAATCCATTTCTCCCCTGTGGGGATAAGGTCTTAGCTGCTTTGCATAACAACACTTGTGAAAAACAAACCCCGCAAACCAATAAATGTATTCCACAGTGCACCCCACAGGAGGGGCCAAGCACTGCTGCTGCTATGAAATGGGCAAGCTACGTGAAAGGCCCAGACGTGTGAGTAAGGTTGAGGTTTTGCAGCTGGCATTCAACTCAGGGGTTCTCAGTGACAGTGACAGGGTGAGATGCCCCTTGTCTGATCCTTGAGCCAACATGACAAACCCCAAAATAACAGTAGGTCCTCTGCCCATGTTTACTGAGTGGAAGAATAAACACAAACACAGGGCAAAGTGTGTTTACTAAAGTCCCACAATTCAACCCAACAACATGCTCTACACTGGTATATGTAATTCTAAGAATGTTTACAACAGGGCCATCACAGAAGGGCTTTGTTAACTCACAGTGCTCCAAGCTTCCACACTTTTAGAGGCCACCCCTGGGGTCCCAAGGCCTTTGAGATGGACCTCCCACAGGGGAGGTTAAAACTGGATTTCAGGCACTCTCCCCAACATGCACCATAGAATATGTTCCCCACAAAAATCAGGTGATTACAGAGTTTTGGAGCATCCTACTTAGCTAGGATAGGAACCACACAATTATTCCCAAACAACATCCTGCACTCCATTTACATAATGAGTGAGCAAACAAGTTGCCTCACATGCTGTAAACCTAAGTCATTTAATATTTGCTTCTGTAAGAAAATACTCCTTTATTAAACCTTAGCCATCATTTTCTCCTGTTACTGATTTTTCTATTAAGTTTCTAATCGTTGTCAATAAGTTACTTAAGAGTAGGAAACTATCGCTGGGCATTGGTGGTGCACACCTTTAATCCTAGCACTAGGGAGGCAGAGGCAGGTAGATCTCTGTGAGTTCGAGGCCAGCCTGGTCTCCAGAGTGAGTGCCAGGATAGGCTCCAAAGCTACACAGAGAAACCCTGTCTCGGAAAAAGAGTAGGAAACTATCAAGTTTTCAGTGCCATTTTTAAGTTTTGAAAATTCAAAGTGGGTTTGTCAAGTCTGTAAATACCAACTCGAGTTACAAAGTTTTAGATTTCCATATTGTTAAACAAGAAAGCACACAAGATTACCAGGAGGCTTTAGAGCCGAGAGACACCGGCACTACCGACTGAGTCATGAGACCAGCATGGCTGTGTTTCTTGCATATTGCAAATGCCTGCACAAGAGGAGGCAGAATCCCAGGAGCTTTTCTGTCAACTTATGTTTTCCAACACAGCACCACCCAAGCCTCTGGGACGTTGGAGTGATTAGGGATCATTTTAGAATTGGAATGGGCAGCAATACAAGCAAGCCAGGAAGACGCACAGCTTTTGGTAGGTTCATGCACACCCCTAAAAGCAAAGGGATCTCACTTTTTCTATGGTTTCCTTCGTACCTTAAAGTCTCGGGGGGATTTTTTTCCAGTCTGAGAATTCAGCCCGGGCTGAAATGCAAACACCGCAAAAAAGCAGGTGTTCCTTTCCAGAGAACTCTCCTCACGGAATACAGCACAGTTGATGAAGGGGTTGTAGTCAGGAAGGTTTGTAGCCTGCAAAGGCTGTCATGGAGACAGACCCCTGTGGGGAACAGATAATCAGGAGCTACTTCAACACTTTGATTGCCTTTCTGCAGCAGCAAGGCAATTATCCCAGCTGGTTGGCTCCTCTGGACTATAGCAGTAACTCCAGACATCACACTTTAAAGAGTAAAGAAGTGATTGTGCATCCGACTGAAGGTAGCAACTCACACTCACAAGCCAAAGCCAGTTCCTGGAACTGCGAGCAGGGTTGCTACCAAGAGGACGCTTACTTCACAGCAATGCCTCATCAGGTCGTGCTTTCTCACAAGCGCCAGACAAATGGCTGCTGCTGCATGACCCCACAGTCACACAGTGAATGGACAACACAAGTTTTCTTTTGGTAGCATGATGAATTTAATGCAACAGCCACAACAGTGGCAAGGAAAGAGGAAGGCAGACCAGACTAACCTGCATCGTTGGGCAAGGACTTGTGCAGGCTTCTATGTGCAGAGACAAGCAGGGGAGGCACTTAAAAGCTTTTGGATGAAAATCCATCCAGGAGAAGCCTGGGCCTAGTCTACATGTATTATCATTGTCATTACTATCAATAGTAACATACTTCTCATGAAGAGACATGCAGCAGAGACACCAGAGACAAAAGAGCCTAAGATTGTTCTGAAAACGAAATGACACAAGGGCGTCCAGAATGTCATATCTCAATTACAAAAGTCAATGTTTTTACATTGTCTTATTTCTTTAGTAGTAGTATCTAGTTGAAAATTTTTTAATTATAAAATTATTGGCAATGATATAAAGTCCTGGCTGGTACAGATATTCCTGTACTGACAACCCATTTGGTAAGGAAAATATCACCATCCAGCTATCTTAAATTATCTTTTATCATCCAAATATCTTAAACCAATGCCCTCATATTGTTATTCAAAGATACTTTCTGTCTTTCCCCCATTACTCCATAATCAATATTCCTCTTAGAAATTATAACATTCACATATATAAAATAAAATATAATGCTTTAAAAATCTCGAAAATGTAATGTTAGTAGTTCTAGTTATCTCAACTCAGCTTTCACAGAGTGGCTTTGAATTTCTATTGCCCAGATGGCTTAAAATAAAATCTTAAATGCCATGTGGCAGTTGCCCTAACGCATCTGTAAACACAATGCCTCTGAAAACATTTTATTGGCATGAAACACTACACTCAAGCGTTGTGTGAAATTTTTAAACCTTAAAGCCTCTTAACATAATCATGTATATCTCTATGTACAGAACATACATAAATTTCACTTTATGTAAAACATATGAAAGAGGTAATCCCAAATCACACTAAACATAATAAATATAGAACTTGCTTTGTTAAAAATCTACAGTATACATTCAAGTGAAGGCTAAACTTCCGGTGCCAACCACATTGGGACAAAAACTGAATGTTTACAATAATCGGTCCCCTGAAAGTGCTATTTTCAATACCTGGAGAGGAAGCCCACTCTTGCCTCTGTCTCATCCAAACACCACACATCCTCTCGTCACAGACCCAGCCGCTCTGTCACTAACTACCACACTCCCAAAGCTTTTGCATCCTTTTCAATAGCTCACATTGCAGTTCTTTGGGGGAAGACGCGAAGTCCAGACAAACAACCCAGACCATCTTAAATTAGATGACTGACTTTATGATACACCCTGTTTAACTCGGACGCGACCTCAGATGCACGCTTTCATGAGAACCCTGCAGTCTGTGTGTCTAAGGTAAGGTGTCTCTTTCCAGGTGAGAACTCGTGTACGTTGAGGAGCAGCCACTGTAGCAGCCTTCCCGTGAACCAGGTCTTGACATCACACTCCATTTCTGATTTGTGCATTCTCTTCCAATCTCATTTGCTTTAGTTTCTTCAGGAGCTATATTCAGCACATTGGTTGAACTCCTGGAAAACAAGGTAAATCTTAATAACTAATTGTCTGCCCCTTGCTGTGGTTAAGAGCAGATGTCCCTGAACACCTTAAGTCTGACGCTCCGGGTCTGTGCTGACAACACAAGCGTCTTGGGAAACCACTTAGGAAGTGAGAGGGCACACTCACAACTGGCCCTATTTGAGAATTCCATCTACCCACATCAGGTACAGACTCTGAGCAGCAAGATGGTCACAGTGCAGATCAATGTCCACTTCCCACAGTTAACCCACCAGGGGATGACTTGCTGGCTCTGTGTTCACATTAGGACCCAGCGCCAAATGGACATGAGCTCTCATCTTAGCTCCAGCGGTGTCTTCTACCTGGCTCTCCTGGCTCACGGCACTGACACCACACTATTTTCGCAGAGAAGAGCGGAGTACTAGTCTTTTAAAGCTCATGGTTTTCTCCCCCTCCTCCTAATATTTGCTCTGTAGCTCTTACAAGATTACTAACCTAAAAATACAGATTAAATTGTTTCAGAAAATGGAATGGAATGGAATTTTATAAATGGAATGGAACCTTCGTTATCACCCTGAGGAAGTGGCTTTTCTTGGCTCTTTGCCTTTCAATACCAGTGTAATGGCACCCAAAGAAACTCAAACTATGTACTCTGGAAAACTATCAAAATGGCATCCTTCAATACAATTACAGTGCTAAGATTTTTAAGTGATTCCTGAAATGTGTTGGCTCTGTCTCTCAGGTTTTAAGGCAGGGTCTCATTATGTAGCCCTGACTGACTTAGAATTGACTATGGGCACTACACTTGCCTCAGACTGGAGAGATTTACTCGCCTCTGTTTCCTGAGTTCTGGCATGAAAGCTGTGCACCACCATGGCTGGCTCCCGAGTCTATACTTTAAATGTAAAGTAAGCCAGGTGCTCCCTTGTTCTCCACTAGACTTCATTACCTAGCACAGAGCGCCCCACCCCCAACTGGGAATCTCTGTACAGACAGAATCTCATTTCTCTCCAAAGCCTCTACTGTCAAAAAAAAACCATGTGTAACAACAAAGCAGTGCCATGCTAACCATTTTCAGTGTGTAAAAAGTCATTTAAAAACAAATACCTGTGTTCAGACACACAGGAACGTGTCTGGCAAATGTCTGAAGTAGAGGGTGAAGCAGGAAGAGACTTAGCCAGTTTTGATGTGCAAGCTGGTGCCCCATTAGTCACACTGTGTGGCTTCTTTTGCCGTGGCCGTGAGTGCACTGTAAGATTGTCTGGATCAGAACCTGGTTTTTAGATAAGGGAAAGAACAGGACACATGTTAAAACACCAGACACAAGGAAGACAGCCAACCAGGATTAATCATGGCAATTTGGAGTAGGATTTGAGAAAGAACAAATTAACTGGTGTCTCTGTTACATATTCTGCAAATAGAAGAATCTAGCTTAAAAAATGGTCAATACCTAAACTCATGAATTTACAAAAACATGGCATTATTACACTCTCACAAAATTAGTTTTTACATGCAAGGTCCTCCTATGAGTCCACTATGATTTCAGTAAATAAACAATTAAGTTGATTTGGGGGCCAGAGGGGACAGTTCCTTATTGAGTTGTAGGCTAGTATGGGTTGGGTTCTGGGTTTGATTGCCAGCACCTGAACACACAGGTGGGCAGAGATTAAAAACAGAAAATAATGTTTCACTTGGATGAAGTCCTAGCAGCACAGAGATCAGCCTGCACAGTGAGGCTGCAGCTCACCTCTGCACAGAGATCAGCCTGCACACAGTGAGGCTGCAGCTCACCTCTGCACAGAGATCAGCCTGCACAGTGAGGCTGCAGCTCCCCTCTGCACAGAGATCAGCCTGCACAGTGAGGCTGCAGCTCCCCTCTGCACAGAGATCAGCCTGCACAGTGAGGCTGCAGCTCCCCTCTGCACAGAGATCAGCCTGCACAGTGAGGCTGCAGCTCCCCTCTGCACAGAGATCAGCCTGCACAGTGAGGCTGCAGCTCCCCTCTGCACAGAGATCAGCCTGCACAGTGAGGCTGCAGCTCCCCTCTGCACAGAGATCAGCCTGCACAGTGAGGCTGCAGCTCCCCTCTGCACAGAGATCAGCCTGCACAGTGAGGCTGCAGCTCCCCTCTGCACAGAGATCAGCCTGCACAGTGAGGCTGCAGCTCCCCTCTGCACAGAGATCAGCCTGCACAGTGAGGCTGCAGCTCCCCTCTGCACAGAGATCAGCCTGCACAGTGAGGCTGCAGCTCACTTCTGCTCACTGCTCAGCCTGCACACAGTGAGGCTGCAGCTCACCTCTGCACAGAGGTTCCCTGCACACAGTGAGGCTGCAGCTCACCTCTGCTCAGAGAGATCAGCCTGCACACAGTGAGGCTGCAGCTCACCTCTGCTCAGAGATCAGCCTGCACACAGTGAGGCTGCACACAGCTCACCTCTGCACTGGGTGGGTGGGCACTCAGATTCAACAGCTTGTGACACTTACTTCCTGAGAAGGCACTGAAAAGTTTCACATTTTCTGAGTTCTGGTGGTCAAAGGTCGTCATGTTTAAAAACTGTTGCTTTAGCCAGCTGGCTCTTTCTTCTTCGAACGCCTTTCTCTAGGGTAACAAACAAACCAAGAACCATCAATGACTCACTGTCATTTCCCATAACTTCTCCAGCTGCTTCCTCTCTGGCCACCTGTACATTGCTTGTATGAAATAGTCACCTAGAAACTATATAAGACACTTGAGAAAGTTATATTGAAAAAAAAAATCTGGGGGCTGAAAAGATGGTGCAATGGTTAAGAGCACTTGTTGCTCTTACAGAGGACCTGGGTTCAATTCCCAACACTTACACGGTGGCTCACAACCATCAGTAACACCAGTTCCAGGGGATACAAGATCCTCTTCTGGCCTCTGAGGACACCAGGCACACACGGTGCACAGACATGTGCAGCAGAGACATACATTCAGGTAAAACACCCTCCTACACTATATCATTTTTAAATAATTTAAATAATAGCAAATCATAGATTTCACTTACTACACCAACAGAGTAGTAGCAGGATTTTGAACACAAAGAACATACAACCATGAGACTGCTATCAGAAAAATACCCTGCTTCATAAGTCAGTCGCCTGGAAACAGGCTTCTGACTACATCAGGCATGTCTTTCGTCCTCTAGCCATGCTACTGAGCCCCAAGAGGGCAGACACACAGATCATACCAAGTGACTGCTCTGCTGTCAGCTGATGACTCCTAAACCACATTTTCTCTCATCTGCCTGTCTGATCTGTCACTGTCACCTGTGTCTGCAAGTAGGCACACTCTCAGATAGCTGGAGGGACACACGGCAAGTTTGTGGCCTGAGGAAGACAACTACTGATGAAAGGGACTTTACAATTATGGACAAAATCAGTGTCAGCCCTTAAAATAACCAGGACTGAGTCTTTCATAAATGGGAGCGTAAAACCAAATATCACCAGGCAGCAGAGAAAACCAATGGCAGAAGAGGAAAAAGGGCCAAGATAATAAACTGACCGCTGATACTAATGTTTCAAGAGTTCTGAAAATACTGTCACATATATTACAAGACTCATAAATGCACAACAATAATAGTGTACAAAGAACAGGAAAATTACAAAATACTAAAACTGATCCAAAGAATAATGTAAGAGAATATCCAGAACTAAGATCCCAATGTCAGCCATGGACACACCTGGCAGCACGGAGAAGTCAAACATGGGAGACAAGCAGAAGAAACGGTCTCTAAAGAGTAGTCTACTGAAGACATTAGAACTAAAGAAATCCCATAAACTTCCACAGAAGGGCATAGGGGCAGGTGCCCCATGAAATTACCTACAAAGTAACACAGGCTATGTTGTCATCTAGCTTCTCCTCAGCAACAAAAACTAAATAATCCTTTCAGCTTCTGCTGATGCAATATAATATAGTTTTAGATATTTCAATATTCAGTTGTCACTATGCTGTGTTTCTTCTTAAAATGTGATATAAGATGGTGACACAGCCTTCCCAAGGAAAACAAGAGGACTAACATGAGCGGTAGAAACACAGCCATGGAGTCTGATGTGGCAGATTAGAGCACAAACACTAGAGAGCAATACGGCTTCTCCAGCAGGCAAAGTCTTACTGTATTTTCAGAGCAAAGACTGGCTCACAGGAGCCTTGCACGATGAGGCCCTGGATTCAACCCCCATCAGTTATGTGTTCAAATGCATTATTTGTTTATGAAATGAGTAATACCACATAATCATAGGATCAACATTTGTTTCTGGCTTTCAATTTTTAGGCCCCAACTTTCGATAAATCGCGCCATTTATAGGTATTTTATAACATAAGGCAGGATATACATAAGACAGCCCGTGGACAATAAAAACAATTTCATAAGGATGCAAAGAGAAGGAGCAAGCAAGTCAGGCGGGGAAAAGCTAACACCATGCTCGACATGACATGGTGGCACACGCCTTAATCACTCAAGCCAGTTCTGCACAGCAAGTTCTAGATCAGCACAGGCTGCATGGAGAGACTGCTCCAAAATCATCAAAATAAAACAAAAAAAAAAAAGTCCACTGGTCATTTTTTTTTTTAAGAACTTTAACATACGGCATTTTAACCTTTTAAAAATGTTTTCCTTTTATGTGTCTGATGTATGTACACTACATGTGTACCTGGTGCCCATGGCCTCCTCCCCTGGCACTGGAGTTACAGATGGTGTGGGTGCTAGGAAGCCAGCCAGTCCTCTGTAAAAGCTGCGAGTACCACGCCTAGCTTCCAATAGACATTTTTTTTTTTAAAATCAGTGGTTGTTTCTAAGGGACGATACTGGAGATAAAGAGGACTCTGTGTCATTCCATAATATTTTGTATAGGTTGAGTTTTAAGTTTCAGTTTTTGAAAGGGCACTATGGAGGCAATGCATTGCTGACAGAATGCAAACTGTGGACATGTATGATGCAAAAATCCAAACCACTAACTTGTATACAATCCTCTACAAGGATTGGGATAAAGAATCTTTTACTGTGTTTTCTTTTCTGTTAACCAAGGATGCTGTTGGTACTATTTTCTGACAGCACATGATGCCCAAAAGGAACTGAGTATCTAACAGAGATCATCCATATGCTCAGCCTCTCCCTTCAATTTGCAGTTACTCGTCATGGAGCAGGCCCCCAGGCCTGAGCACAACTGACTCCATGATGGAAGTGCCACCCAGGCCATGGATCTCAGCATGTTGACAGCACCTCTAGCCAAAACCAAAACAAAGATCTAGTCCACCAAAGCTACAGTTCTTGGAAAGTCTCTAAATGTACTAGCCTTGCTTTCTGGCTTCTGTACTTCTGCCTCTGGCTAACTGTTCTTGTTAACTGAAGTATGTCAACCCAAGTTTTGGTTTTGTGCTTAAAAGCTCAGCCTGAGGATGGCTGAGATCCCAAACTAACAGTGTAGTCATTTCTGACCATTCTTCTCAGGGAGTAGGATGGCTAGTGTGATCCTTCAGATGAAGTGGATCCAAGGAGCATCCACCTGCACCCTCCCAGACACCTGTGCTCGGGGCTGCAGCACTGCAGAGCTCACCTCCAGCCCCAAGCGGATCGCAGCTTCTGTAAAGCTGCGTCTTTCTCTCTCAAAATTCTTTTTTTGCTCTTTAAAAAGGGACCACTCTTCTTTAAGGCGTTCCTTTTCTTCCAGCAAGTAACAGTCTCGAAGCAGTGAGGTTGTGTCATCATCACATGTCGTGGCCAGCTGCTGCTATTAAGGTTTAAAACACAGTAAGTCAGGAAACCCAGACAGCTTACTCACACTCCAGTGAACGCAGGGAAGATGGGTCAGAGCTTGGCCAAGGACATACACGATGAAGCAATGAGAACTTGCTTTCCCAAGAGCTGCTTCCCTTGGCAAAGCAGGGGCCAGGTGAACAAGGCTGCAGCTCATTAACTGCTAGTTCAGATGACTCACCTGAGATGGTAAAGGGTGTCAACTCTACAGACCTCAGGAGACACAGGAGCAAAAATCTAGCAGGTTCAATAACACCCCGAGGCCATCCCTTTACCTGTAAGAGCTGCTGCTGTGCTCGGATCATCTCTTTACACTGCTGGATCTCCAATTCCAGTTTCTCAGTCTCTTCTTCATGGTCCTGTCGTGAGATGACGTCCTCATCATTGAGGCCTTCTGAGTGGACCTTTGAAACTGACAGAATCCCAGTGTGCTGGGTTAGTTTGCTGTCACCCTGACTCCAGCAAGGGTCATCAAAGAAGAGGGCCCCAAACTGAGAACAACTGAGAAAATGCTTCCACAGACAAGCTTGTGAGACATTTTCTTCAGTAATGAGTTGTTTGTTTGTTTGTTTGTTTTTGGAGTAGGGTTTCTCTGTATAGCCCTGGCTGTCTCGGAACTCACGTTGTAGACCAGGCTGGCCTTGTGGGAGGCCCAGCTCAGTATGATGGGGCCACCACTGAGAAAGTGGTCTGGAGTTGTATGAGAAAGCAGGTTATCTCTTATAAGATAAGAGATACCATAATAGAGGGAGATATTTTAGGTTTAAAGAGAAATCAGGCACTCGGGAAATGTCTGGAGATCGACAATGATGACACCAGCTAACAATCTAAGCAACAGAGGAGAGGCTACCTTAAATGCCCTCCCCTGATTATGAGATTGATGACTGACTTATATGCCACCTGATAGCCCTCATCCAGCAGCTGATGGAAGTAGAAGCAGACACCCACAACTAATCACTGAAATGAACTGGAATCCAGTTCCAGAAAAGAACCAGTGATGAGCAAAGGATTAGCTGCTGAAACCCACAGAAACAGCTGACCTGAACAACGGGGAGCTCTTGGTCCCCAGACTGATAGCTGGGAAACCAGCATGGGACTGACACAGACCCCCTGAACGTGGGTGTCAGTGAGGAGACCTCGGAAATCTACGGGACCTCTTGTAGTAGATCAGTACTTATCCCTAGCTTAGGTGTGGATTTGGGAGCCCATTCCACATAGAGGGATACTCCCTTAGCCAAGACACACGGGGGTTGGGCCTAGGCCCTATCCCAAAGGATATGATAGACTCTGAAGATCCCCTATGGAAGGCCTCACTCTCCCTGGGGGCGCAGAAAGGTTTTGTGATAGGTAGCGTTTTAGTTGGGGGGGGGCAGGGGAGGAGGGAAGGGAGAGGGAACTGGAATTGTCATGTAAAACAATCTTGTTTCTAATTCAAAACAAAGATAAAAAAACACAACGCACACACACACACACACACACACACACACACACACACACACACACAGAGTAAAATTTACCCTTTCCTCTCAAGATGCTTCTGGTCATGGTGTTTACCAAAACAATAGAAACCACGATGAGAGCCAGAAACTAGGCACAGGTTTTAAAGCCACTATTGTCTTAAGCTGGTCTTGAACACACATTTAAAATAAATTACTGCAAGTGAATGTGCAACTGTGAGAACTATGCTGTTTGTCCTTTGTGACTCACAGCTTTGTACTGATAACTCCAATAAACTTTAAGTAACTGACTTTACTAAACAGAAATTTTAGTGCTCAAGAAATGACAGAGGTGAAAAGTGCACTCTGTTCCTTAGAGCTCCCAGGCTCCATTTCTAGCACCCATGTTGGGGTCTTGTAACTACCTGTTAACTTCAGCTCCGGGGAGTCAGCACCTCTGGCCTCCACAGAAACCTACACTCACATGACACGCCCCTTTGCACACACAAACACAATTAAAATGATAAATGTAAACCTGAAAAAGCACAAACTCAACTTTCCTGATTTAGAAGCACGCAGACTTTAACACATATAAGAGTGCTTGCCTTCATACTCGAGCTACAAGTTGTTCAGTTCACTACCGAGCTGCACGGGGACTTCAAGTGTGAGCAATGCTGCTCTCTAAGACTTGTTCTGGAGCCAGGTGCATCTCTGTCAGTGAGTGCAAAGCCAGGGGCAAACCAGGCAGAACCAGACACCCAGAGCAGCCAGCCCTGCACTGGACAGCAGCAGCTTACATGGCGCCCACTTCTCCTGCACTGCAGCAGGGGTTACCTTGGTTATCGAGTTTTTCCACGTGACTTTTCAAGATCCTCCACTGTCTCCTGATGCTGTTTGTAAGCTGCTCTCTCACAGTGTCACAGGAGAGGCCCCACGCGCTCTCTCTGCTCAGCTCTCCAAGGTCATCTTCAATATCAGAGATAACCTACAGCCCAAAGAGAACGACGGAAAGACCAGTAACTTACAATGCTTTTACACCCAGGCTGCTCTATCGGGCTCAAGCAATCTCTCACCCATTAGCCAGTATCTATATCTTGTAAAAAGGTACTGAAGACAGAAACTCCCAAATTCAGATCTCTTCCAATCTGACTGACAGAGCTGTCTGAGACAGCTGCTGTCTGTGCAATGCTGTGCTGGATGCTGCTGCACATTTACTTCTCAAACTGTGCAAAAAAGAAACTCAGGCTCAGAGGCAGGCTCAGTGTCACACAGAAGACAGGCAGGACTGAGACTGGTCGATTTGTCTCTAAGTTTAGACTGCTGCAACAAGTAAACCTTTTGAAATTATCAACAGAGTCAAACAGTTAATCCCAATTCTCCTATCATTTTATGGCTGACATGTTTTTCTTTTTGTTGGACCAAAACATGAAATTATAGGAAAATGTACCAATGTTGATTAAGTTACCACAGAAAACAATATGAAAACTTAAGTCAAACATGCATCTATATACAATAGTCTTTATTTGTTACTAATTTCCAGGAAGGTTGAAACACTTGACTATGAAAAATACCTCTCAGGAGAAAGGTGGCAAAAGGTTAAAAGAAAGAAGAGTTATTATACCCCCCTCCCCCCAATCAGACAAATGCAGCAGCAATGAAGAGCTGGCACTGGGGTAGCAGAGGTCAGGTCTAAGCAGACGCTGTGACGTCAGCACTGGGGTAGCAGAGGTCAGGTCTAAGCAGACGCTGTGACGTCAGCACTGGGGTAGCAGAGGTCAGGTCTAAGCAGACGCTGTGACGTCAGCACTGGGGTAGCAGAGGTCAGGTCTAAGCAGACACTGTGACATCAGCACTGGGGTAGCAGATCCAGCTAAGCGGAGCGGGTGATTAAGGCTTAGCAGATGGCTCAGTGACTGTTCTTGCCATCATTGGTCTCCAGGAGCTATGGGCCTGTAACCCATTTCAAAGTCTCTTAGACTACAGACTAAGCATCCCTCACCAGACACTTGGGGCCTGAGCACTTGGGATTTAAGATACTTTGGGATTTTACAGTATCTGTCTCTTCTGTCTGTCTGCTTATGTGTATGTGTTAGAAGTATGATATAAGCCTAAACATGAACTCTATTTCAAATGTACCTTGTATGCACAATCTGAAAGTAATTTACTTATGAAATATTTTTGTGTGGCTTGATTCCCGCTGCGCTGTCTTGGGAGATCCAATTTAGAATTTCCCAGCTGCAGCATCATGCTATACTTAAAGCTGCAGCTTGTGGAGCAGGAGGGATTTAATCAGGTGCTACACCCTGATTACAAACCTGGCGGTGGTGGCACACACCTTTAGTCCCAGCACTCGGGAGGCAGGTGGATCTCTGTGAGTTCGAGACCAGCCTGGTCTACAAGAGCTAGTTCCAGGACAGCCTCCAAAGCCACAGAGAAACCCTGTCTCAAAACAAACAAACAAACAAACAAAAAACAAAGAAAAACAAACCAAACCTGCTGTTAACACTGATCAGGTCAGGAGATGGTAAAGGCACCTGCCACCAACCTGGATGACCTGAGTTCAACACCTGGGACCCATCTGATGCAATGGTGGAAGACGACACTGACTTCCACAAGTTGTCCTCTGATCTCCATACCACACCCCCAATAAAGTATATTTTAAAATTTCAAAAACCTTAATAGCCAGGAGTGACTGCACATGCCTGAAATCCCAGTACCAGGAAGGTGAAAGCAGAGAGATTTTTAAGTTCTGGGCTAGCCTAGACTATGCAAGCAAAATCCAGTTTCAAAACAACAAATAATAAAAAAAATTACTACCTGTTTCCCAGATTGAATAAAAATCTACAATCAAAAGACTTATAAAAACAAACAAACAAAACCAAAACCAAACAAGCCAGGAGGTAATGGTACACGCCTTTAATCCCAGCACTCAGGAGGCAGAGGCAGGCGGATCTCTGTGAGTTCGAGGCCAGCCTGGTAGGGTCCAGGACAGCCAGGGTAACACAAAGAAATCCCATCTTGAAAAACCTAAACAAAACCAAACCCATATTTTGGCTATGATACAAGCCAAATACAAGTGAAATCCAAAAGATACCTAGCACCAAGAGTCTAATTATTCTTGCTATTCTGTCCTAAGATTTTCACTGAAAGAATGGTAATATTACCTAAATCTTGAGAAAAAGAAGTAGAAAAATAATCTTTTAACAATAGGAAAAATGCTTTGGACTTCCTTTAGCTTTGAATTGTGAGGAACCACTGGGGATGTCATCACCAGGGATGTCATCACCAGGGACATCACCCCACCTGAAGAAGCAGGAAGGCACTCCTGGTTTCCTTCCCATTTCTGATGACTAGTAAAGTACTGGCCAACCCCGAAGAGACCTCAAAAGTGATATAACCTATGTTGGTCAAAGCTCACAACTGGCTCAAAGTAACAGACTTTGAGAGCAAAGCCAAAGTTTACAGAGGTGTTAAGTCAGAAGCTGTAGAGGAACAGAGTGGTACCCTGTTCTAAAGGAGAACTCTGAGGAGGAAGACCGTATGTTAACATCCAATACCATACATTGCTGTAATATTAGTTGCTGACTCTAATCTTATTGTACTGGCTTAGAAATCAGACTTTCTCAAAGGTATATACACAGGAAGAGCATGACACCTACGATTTGTTCTGGAACTATCTACAGTTCCTGGCATCCACTTTGGGTCACAAAGGATTGTGTCCTGTGTATTAAGGATATTTAAATGGACTTCTCAGATGGCCAATTTAAGAGCCCACAAAATAAATAATCCTTGAACACAGGCTTACAAAATGTACTTTGGTGGCCTGGCTGGCAGTTGACAGACCTTCTATCAAACTGCCATCTTCCAATTTTCACCACTGTGAACTTGGATTCCTACATCAGGCACTTGAGTCAAGAAGGCACTCCTCCGTTTTCTCCATGAGAGCATCTACTCATTGTGGAAGAAGCCACTCCACAGCCACCCTCTTTGTGATGTCTTCTTTGACTGAGCAGCCAACAGCCACCACACTTTGCGCATGTGGTAACCATATCTCTACTTGTCTACCCCTTCCCAAAGTGCTTCTTGAGGGAACTGTCAAAACCTTAGCTTTGTCTTTTCAGGACTTAGAACAATAAAGCTTCAATAAAGGTGTGGACTGAATGTTTCTTTAGTTCCAAAGAGACAACAGGGGTGAAGACCATCACATACGGCACGGTGCCTGAGTGCAGACACAAATCCAATCTGATTCCTGCTGTGTACGCTGTGCTAGCATCTAAGATGGGTAAAATTAAAGTATAGTCAGATTATTGTAACATTTTAAGCCTTATAACACTGAATCATCTCCTCCAGGAGAAATATGAACAAGATGATGCTCATGAAGCACCAGATGGTCATCTCCAGATGCCTTCCAGGATGTGCCTGGAGATGTGCAGGGCAGTTTTCAGCTGTCGTGACTACAGACGGCAGAGCAGAGCCCTCAGGGAGAACCGGGGTTTGCATGGCGTGGGTTAGCCGCTGGGCTGAGGCTGGAGAGGAACACTTACAGCAGTGCCTGTGCCGTCCTCTGCTCTTTCCCTGGGTTTCTTCTTCTGGGGCGAGAGAAGAGAAATCATCTCCTTCTTCATCTGCTGCAGGACCTTCTTCAGCTCAGCGTTCTCCGTTAGGATCTGCTTCTGGCGGCACTCATAGTCATTCAGCAGAAGTTTGTACATTTCATCTTCATTCCTGGGGGAGAAACCACTCGTGTGAGAACACATGGCCACAGCAAACCCAGGCCACATTGCAGGCTACACGTCTGTACCTGGCTTCTGTCTTATCAGTCCTCCACGAGCCTCGTTTTCCATCAGCTCGACCCACATAATTTAAAACGTCCATGGCTACAAATGTAAGCACAAACATAATCAATCTCTACCACATGTTTAAAACCCTATCACACATGAGACACATGAGGGTCTGACTGAAGCTGACCTGGAACACAGGTCAGGGCCCTTCGAATAACCTGGGGTTTGTCAAGCTTCTCCAATGCTAACCTTACTTTTTCCCTGGCCAGAGGGAAGGAGAGACATACCCTCTAGTACTTAAGGATACAGGGATGTACTCACAGAGGGAACACTGTATCTGTATATGGTGTTACTTAAGGATACAGGGATGTACTCACAGAGGGAACACTGTATCTGTACATGACATTACTTAAGGATACAGGGATGTACTCACAGAGGGAACACAGTATCTGTATATGGTATTACTTAAGGATACAGGGAATGTACTCACAGAGGGAACACAGTATCTGTACATGACATCACTTAAGGATACAGGGATGTACTCACAGAGGGAACACAGCATCCAGCACACACAGCTTTCCCAGAACTTAGCCACAGCTGCCTATCTACATGCTGTTAGGGGACTTCCCTGCAATGGCAGAGGAAGCATGCTGAACTTCCTCATTGTTCGGGCATTACAGAGAAGGCCCTGCCTGACTTGCTAACCCCATCAGTGTTGTCAACCTCACAGGAATGAAAATTTGACAGCACTAATGTCCATCTGCCCCAGATACAGACAGACTCACTTTCATAACAAAAAAGTTATTCTGATTTTGAACTAGTAAATGAAATCTATCTCTTCTGATTGGGCTGGGAAAAGAAACAGCTACCCACCCCAGGCTGCTGCTGCTGCCATTTACAAAGCCAACTCTAAAATCACCCTTCTTTGACATTCAGAAACCACTGTGATGCTTTCGGGTTCCAGTTCTTTATGGGAGTCAGTGTCCTCTGGCTTACTTTTCAACTCCAAACCCATCATGTTAGGCAAATACACGTGCACTGGTGTGAATGAGAATGGCCCCCGGGGCTCATACGTTTGAGTACTTGGTTCCCAGGCGATGAAACTGTTTGGCAAAGGTTAGGAGGTGTGGCCTTGCTGGAGAGGTATGTCACTAGAGCTGGGCTTTGGCTCTTTCTGCCTCATCGTTTGTCTCAGGATGTGATCTCTCAGCGACGCTCTAGCACCATGTTCCTTGCCATAATAGTCATTGACTACTATCTGAAATTGGAAGCCCAATAAACTCTCCTAGAAGTTGTCTCGGTCACTTTGTCTTATAGCAAAAGTAATAAGACAAACTAAATGACCCAGGCTTTTATTTTTTTTCTCTCCACAAACCGGTTGTCTCAGTTTCCAGTTTATAGGGAAATACCTAAATTCTAAAGGCAACCTTGCAATGTATGAAAGTACGTCACCCCTTCGCGCTTATGGGCACATCCCTGCAGGCACGAGGCTCACTCTTGGTAAGCGTCATACCTATTTTTTTATCCTTCTTGTTCATAACAAGCTGGTGCAGCCGCTCCTTTAGTTTATTGTATTCACGCTCTTTTCTCTTCATATCATGATTATACTGAGTAGCCCGACTGGCTATAATGTTTTGTAATTTTTGTACCTGAAAGACAAAACACTTTCTATCAAACAAGTGGTGATGCATCCACTAAAATCATAAATTCAAAAGGTAAAACCAGTCCTAACTGGTCCTAGCTCATATTCCCTCATAATGAGTTTCACTTCTTACCAGTGAACGACAACAATACACAGCGGCACGCAGCTGCCAGCAAGCTGTCTTCTCTCTGAGCAGCCACCGCTGGGAAGCTAGGTCAGGTGCTATTCTTCTGAGTTGGCCGGCCAGCACATGCTAGGCTAGCGCCTACTGCTGAGCCACACCCCCAGACTGCTTTTTACCTGGAGGCTGTCCAAGCTGGACTTGATTCTCAATTCCTGCCCACCTCCCTTGCGGCTGGGTTACAGACCTGTGCTACCAGGCTCAGCTAGGGCAGCTCCTGACAGGAAGTGTACTTTGTTCTTTAGAGCCATCTCAATCCTAGCCATAGAGTGGTGTTTTAGCTTACTCCAGACCAAAGACAAACTTCAAACTAAATGTAATCAACACATCATATCACAATTTTCTATGTAGTAACCTTGGTTAGATAGTCATTATTCACTTTTTTTGTTTTGTTTTGTTTTGTTTTTTTGAGACAGGGTTTCTCTGTATTGCTTTGGAGGTTGTCCTGGAACTCGATCTGAAGAACAGGCTGGCCTTGAACTCAGAGATCTGCCTGCCTCTGCCTCCCGAGTGCTGGGACTAAAGGCCTGTGACATCACCAATGCCCTGCTTCATTATTCACTATTAAATACTAATTAAATGGCATAAAAAGAAATCATAGGCTTTTAAGAAATAGATTATCGGGGTTGGAGAGATGGTTCAGTGGTTAAGAAACTTGCTGCTCTTGCAAAGGACCTGGCTTGTGTACCCATAAAGTGGCTCACAAACACCTGTAACTCCAGTTCCATGGGGACCCAATCTTCTGGCCTCCAAAGGCACCAGCCACATACACAGTACACAGACATGGAGGTAAAACAGACATACACACATTAAAAAAAAAAGAAAATAGAAATAAATTCCCTTCCAAGCCTCTGAGTTAAAGAACAAAACACTGAAAATAATATTTTTTTAGCTACTATATGGATAGGGGTCAGTGTCATGTCATCACAGTGCTGTCAGGATTCAGCTAAAAATAAGGTCTAGGTACCTACCAAGCACATATTAGAGTTGGAGTATTTTGAGTTAGAAGTGAAATTTTTAATATGAATCACCACAGCTTTGTGCATCCTAGGCACTAAGTGTTCCACACTGTGGCCATTTAATCAGGTTAATTCTTTGCTAGATAAAAAAGGGTAATGTTTAAGATCACACACGAGAGGAGAAAGGGGACAGTTCAGTGCAGGGCACTTGCCTAGCATGTGCATGGCCCTGGTTAGGCGAGAGCCACTGAGAGGCCTTCCCTGTAGAGGGAGGCCTTGCTGGAGAGGGGTTGATGCAAGGGGGGAGGTGTGGAGCGCTGCCTCTGTACAGTACCGAGGAGACAACGATGCGTGCTCTCAGTTCTCCTGTGCCTGAGAGAAATGAGAGAGGACCGAAGGGCAGCACAGGGGCCCTGCCTGCCGCCAGCCATGGGCTCATGTCCTCCTGGAGCAGGGCAGAGGACGGGCACAGCGTGGCCACCCACCATGCTAGTGTGACGCAGAATAGACAGTTCTTTTTAAAAGGTGAAGTGGCCATTATGTCACACCTCAAATTCTAAAAACCAATAGTTCACCTCATGCAAGGTAACAGAAAACCCACCTCATCTTTTTCATTCTTCAGAAGCTGATGCAAATTCCTGTTTTTGCACTGTAACTGCCTGTCTCTCTCCTGAAGCCCAATCATCTCTCGTCTTGAGGTTTCCAGTTGTTCCTGGAACATAAAATATGCCACTTGTCCTCAGGAGTGACAAGAACCACACATTAACCTGGGAACTACAGTCCAACTTCTGAGCCACACTCAAGCTTACTTAAAGCAATTACTACCAAGTTCAATATATAAAATCACATGCCTTATTTAAATTCATTTTTATTCTACTTATATACAAGAACTACAACATGGTCTTAAAAGGCTCTTCCTCTGTGCTGCTATCCCTGAAGCTCCCAGAATTCTCTGTAAGGCTTTCACACGCTAGGAGCACACTCATCTACAGCAGGCTTCATACTCTGGGGATGCTTGCCTTTAGGGAACAACAAATGCCACTGAGTGTGAAGAGACTAGGAATACTATCCTTCACACTGCACAAGTTCAAATCTGAACTCTGAGAAATTATTTAAAAAATCCTAAAATTCATAGAGAAACACAAAGACAAAGCAATCATGCGGAAAGAATACATAAATCACAAGCCGAAAGAATACAGCTGAAGGTGCCATAAAACCGATTCCAAATTATACAACACAGCCACAGTAATGAAAATACTGCATAGTACTGCCATGAAAACAGACATGAAAGTCAATCGAACACAACACAGGACCCCAAGAGAAACCCACAAAGCCACCTCATTTTTGACCATGGTATAAACAAATATACACTGGAGAAAGGACAGTCTCTTCAATAAGCTATGCTGGGAAATAGAACAGACCCTCATCCATCCTATGCAAACAAATTCCAAAAGGATGTCAGACCTTAGCGTGAGGCCACAAACTCTGAAGCTGCCAGAGCAAACAACAGAGAAAGTATTTCAGACAGAGGGTTAGCAAGGATTTGATGAAAAGGACTCCAATGACACAGAAACTGACCTCACGAACGGACAAGTGACATCACAGAATCACCAAAGGAAGCAGTCAGAACAGAGCAGGGAAACAAAGAGAGAAAATCTACGCTAACTACAGGTCTGGCAGAGACTAACATTTACAATCTATAAAAAGAACTTAAAATACTAAACATCAATAAATGGACAAACACAGTTTGGACTATGCAGTTCTCAAAAGAGGAAAGACAAATGGCCAGTAAGTAGATAAAAGTGTCCATTAGCTCTACAGGAAATGCAACTTAAAACTACAGTGAGATTCCACATCACCCTAGGCAGAATGGCCACTGCCACCAAGGTTATAGATAAACAACTCCAGATGCTGGCAAGGATGCAAGCAGAGAGGACTGTGCACTGGTAAGCTGAGGCTGATGCTAAGGAGGTCACGATGGAGGTTCCTTGAGAAACAAAAGCAGAAAAACCACATAATCCAGTCCACTCCTGGGTCTCATCTGAAGGACTCTCAGTCACCATATGCAGAGACACTTGAACACCCACTGCAGTGCTGTTCACCGTAGATATAAGGAAAATGGGACACGGTGAGCACGTGTGTGTGTGCGCGCACTGAAATAATTCCAACTGTGGCCTCACGTATTGGACTCCATTAGTCGGAAAACTCATGAGCAGGGACTGGATTTTCTTTTTCCAGTACCTGATGAATTAATCACATTAGATCTAGAAACCTTACAAATTTCTGTCCTCAGCTAAGTCAAATAACAGATCTGGCCCAGGTCAAATCCAAGTTAAAAGGCACCCTCATAGAACAATCTGTTTTAGGTAGTTCTAGTTCATTCCTAAAAGGCCTTCCTTAGTCACTCCAACTTAACCTGCACCTCTGCACAGCTGGACACTTGGACACTAACTACTCACATGGCACTTGGCCAATGACACTCAGCTAGAAGAACGCTGTCTTCCAGGTTTTAGGTCATGATCAGCCTGATTAGCATCCAGGTCCTGAGAAGAGGAGGGGGAACAATGTGGCAGGCACAGCTCACAGCTCTACAGAGCACTGATTCCTTCTCCATCCCAGCTAGCCAACGCACACATGGAGTCCTTACTTTCCCTGTCCTTCTGGCAAACAGGATGTACAGGAAGCTAAAAGCACTGCTAGAGAGAGACAGAGTTATTGCACCTGGTCTAAGGACAGACAAGACACATCTCAGTGATGGGCTAAAAGGAGCACCTGCCACGGAGCATCACTTCTCTAGGGCTTCCCCAAATGTGCTCGGCGTTCACAAGCAGAGCAGTGCAAACCTCATGCGCTTGACGGCATGCGCAACTACCCTGCAAATACTACACAGAGACTACAGTTCTCCTAGGAGCCCGAAGTCAAGGTTCTTTTGCTTTTCTTATCTGTTTTAGACGGGGGTGGGATAGGAAGAAGATATACAGAAGAGGGCCAAGGACCAAGCACAAGAGAGCCATTGCCAAGGGCTTTGTGCTCGCAAGCAAGGCCTTCGATCGAGTACTGAGGAAAATGGTTCCTATGCTTTATGCTTTTAATAATACACAACTACAGTGTAAGTCTGTACTGTACCAGGGTTCAAATACTTATTCCTCTTCTTTCAGGGGATTGTATTTCTTACACAAACACACAGAGAAGCTTTTTATGAAGGAGAAAAGAAAGCAACCAGCAACAGCACTGTACGCTAAGCTGGCAGGTCCATGGCCCAATAGAAAGTACGTTTCCCTCTGTACAGAGAGGGTTACAAGAGAACAAGAGCCGCCGGGCGTTGGTGGCGCACGCCTTTAATCCCAGCACTCGGGAGGCAGAGGTAGGCGGATCTCTGTGAGTTCCAGGCCATCCTGGTCTACAAGAGCTAGTTCCAGGGCAGCCTCCAAAGCCACAGAGAAACCCTGTCTTGAAAAACCAAAAAACCAAAAAGAAAAAAAAGGAAGAAAGGAGAGAGAGAGAGAGAGAGAGAGAGAGAGAGAGAGAAGAAGAAGAAGAACCACCACCACAGGGACTCCAGACTCCTTGCTGTCGGCTGCTGTCTGCTTGCTCCACCCCTGCACTCTGCTCTGGGATACACACCTCGGGAATATTCTTGGAACCAACACATTAGGAAGCATCGGCTTTGTTAAGAAAGATTGGAGGAGGTGAGAGAACCTGATTCTTCCCAGACCTTTGTATTTCCTGACTTCCGACAGCTTCAGCAAGTCTCCAGACAAGACAATCAAGGCCTTCAGCATACACAGCAAAAAGCTCAGTAACTGACCCATGCAAGTGACTTGAATCACTGTTAGCCACGACTAAAAGAATGGCAGATTTTAAACACAGCTTTGAATCTCTTCTGAAGCCCACCCATGGCCACCTGTGGCACCATGCCCTGTGGCCAGGCGCTGAGGCAGGAAGATGAACAACAGGTACCTTAAGTTTGGCATAGCAGCTCTGCAGGTGGTCCATGTCACTGCCTAGCTTCAGATTCTGCGTCTCCACACTTTCCTGGGCCAGAAGGTTCTTCCGCTGCAGCACCAGTAGCTCATTCATACAATTTAAAACAGCAACTATATTTAATTCTCTCTTTGTCTCTTTACTTTTGGATTCTTCATATAAGGAAGGAAAACCAAAGGTAGTCAGTTCCTGTGACGAGAGAATGGTTTCTTAGTGGCCAGCCAGTTATCTCTGGGAAGATGTTGGTCAAAGGACAGGATGTTTCAGTTCAGCCAAAATGAGCTACTGAACTGCATGGTGATAAGCTAGCAACAATGTTGATTCTCGAACACTGCAGGCTACACCCAAGTCACACTGACACAAAACATCTCACTATGTGCACTTCCGAGCCATTCCACAATGGACACATAGTTAGAAACATGCAGTACACAATATACACAGTTGCTAACTTGTCCACTGAAACTTTCAATATGTAAGTTAATTGTTTCTTAGGACTAACAGACAATTTAGTGAAAAAGAAAAAAAGAGAAAACGGGAAAACCATTCCTAGATCATTAGTATTAAATTGTCAGAGAACGGACACTTAATCAACCTTACATTCTTTGCTGAACAATCACTATGACCTGGTGGACTGGCATCTTGCTTGGCCAGTGAACTTGTGGTGGTCACATCCTAAGGGCGAGGCTTCAGGTGCACAAATGACCTCTCATAAAGAAGAGGAGGGGCTGACTGGCTCTCTTGAGTTGTGGGGAGAGCATCAGAAGGGCAGAGACTGCATCTTCTGACGCAGAAGCCCTCGGCGATTATTTACTATTATTTGTGTAAGTGCCTCCCTAATAAATATCAGCTTACCACTTATCTTGGGTCTCGTGGACTCATTTAAACCCCACCTTCATTTGGTGCCCAACACAGGCTGATTCCCATGATCAGCCCGCGCTGCTGAGCCGCCATGACATCTGCCACCCAGAGTCAGTGCTACCAGTCTGCCTGCATTTACTTGGTCACAAGAGACAGCCCCTCCTCTTCCTTATAAGGGGTCACATCTGCACCTGAAGCCACGCCCTTAGGATGTGGCCACCACTGCAAGTCCACTGGCAAAGCAAGATGCCACTACAACCTGGCATGAGTTATCCCAATTTTTCATCAATGAAATGAGGGTTAGACTCCTGAGTACAGGAGCCTGGGACAGAGGGTGCCTGGCTGCTGCAAGCACAGCAGCTAACCTGTGTCAGCCTAGGAGATAGATCCCCACAGTCTCTGCAGGTCACTGTGTAATGACACTCAGGCTTGACAAACACTTCTTGTAGCTTTGATATTTTCGGGTATATAACATGTTCTTGCTTCTTACAAAAACACAATACCTGATCAAGATATGAAATACTTTGTTCAATGTTCTCTTCTGTGCAAAAGGCACTGAAAACACTGTGCACATTTTTTGATAAAGGTATTGAAGAGCATAGCACTTGCTGGGAGTATAAACTTGATGGAGACATCTTTGTTTCTGAGGTATATTGATGGAGATTTTTGCTTTCTGAAAGTAAAAAATAAATTCAGACAGTTAAAAATCTAATAATCTCCATTACCAAAGATTCTGAATTACATACAAAATATTTTAAAGTTAGGGCAAAGACACTTGTGTGAAATCTATATACACTTATTTTTTAAAAAACAAAAGACACAATTAAATTGACTTTGTGTCTTGGTAGATGGTTAAATGGATTCACACCATAACTTCACTATTGGATTTATAAAAGTAGGAAAAAAACACTTGTCTATGACACTCAGTTGATGTGATTAAAGGAATTAGAGACTGAAGGAGTCAATAAGTATATTACAAATGCATAAATTTCCCTCAAAAATGGTGATAAATAATCTGTTGTCCACTCATAGGCCAGCTTGGCTTTTTATAACTTTACTGAAAATGAGAACTGGGTATGTGCTAACCATGGACAGCTGTCATCATGTCTCCTGTGTCTGTGGTAATGAGTTTATACTGTTCTCAACAACCCCTCTTTGATGGTGTCTGCCGTTTAGACTCCGTTACCTGTACACAGACTTGGATCTGTAACAGTCATCCAATCTCCCATAGCAGTCTCCAGAGCCAGGGTACCTGAGGAGGTGGTTCAGGGCTGAAGCGTGTACAGTGGCTTCTGTCATGCTACGTGAGCATCTCCTTAGAAAGCAAGGGACAGAGGCATCCAATTTGAAAGATGAAGCCCAGTGAACGCAAAGCGTCATTTGCATTTCTTTTGAGTTTTATTCCACTTCTATGCTTATAAATGTCTTGAATGTATGTATGTGAACCATGAGCACATCCCCTGCAGCAGCAGCAAGTGCTCTTAACCACTGAGCCATCTCTGCAGTCCATTTACATGTCCGTTACAACAGAAAGGTTCTGTAGCACTTGCTCCTATCTACACAGAGAAAATACTAGGTACTAGTGTGCTGTTTAGCTTTAACTGCCAACGGACACAACCTAGCATCACCTGGGGAGGAAATCTCAAGGAGGAATTACCTAGATCAGGTTGGTATGTGAATGTGGGAAGCACCATCTTACAGGCTGGGACCCCAACTGTGTAAGAGTGAAGACAGCCTGCTGAACCAAAACACCGAAAGAGCAAGGAAGCAGAATCTGCATCTTTACTCCTTGCTGCTCTAGCAATGGATATGGTGTGACCAGCTGTCTCAGGCCCTACCTCTGTGACCAGCTGTCTCAGGCCCTACCTCTGTGACCAGCTGTCTCAGGCCCTACCTCTGGGACCAGCTGTCTAAGGCCCTACCTCTGGGACCAGCTGTCTCAGGCTCTACCTCTGTGACCAGCTATCTCAGGCCCTACCCTCTGGGATCTGCCACATGATAGACCATAACCTGGAATTATAAACCAGATAAACCCTTCCTCTCTTAAGTTGATTTTGATCCAGATGTTTAATTACAACAACAAAAATGAAAACTAGAACACAGAAACACAGAGGCTGTGTGTGTGTGTGTGTCTGCATGTTACAAACTATACATATATGTATCAAGGTTAGAGGTTTCCTAAGATACATGATACCTGATTTGACTCTAAGGTACAGCAGTGTCATAGGGAATAATACTAAAAATAAGGATAATCATAAGGATAATAATACCGCAAACAACTTATTTATTTCGGTAAGAAGATGAGCCTTCCTACCTCTGTGACCAGCTGTCTAAGGCCCTACCTCTGTGACCAGCTGTCTAAGGCCCTACCTCTGTGACCAGCTATCTCAGGCCCTACCCTCTGGGATCTGCCACATGATAGACCATAACCTGGAATTATAAACCAGATAAACCCTTCCTCTCTTAAGTTGATTTTGATCCAGATGTTTAATTACAACAACAAAAATGAAAACTAGAACACAGAAACACAGAGGCTGTGTGTGTGTGTGTGTCTGCATGTTACAAACTATACATATATGTATCAAGGTTAGAGGTTTCCTAAGATACATGATACCTGATTTGACTCTAAGGTACAGCAGTGTCATAGGGAATAATACTAAAAATAAGGATAATCATAAGGATAATAATACCGCAAACAACTTATTTATTTCGGTAAGAAGATGAGCCTTCTAGGCCACTGCCCCCATGCTTTGTAGGTGAGAAGATGAGCCTTCTAGGCCACTGCCCCCATGCTTTGTAGGTGAGAAAATGAGTCTTCTAGGCCACTGCCCCATGCTTTGTAGGTGAGAAGATGAGCCTTCTAGGCCACTGCCCCCATGCTTTGTAGGTGAGAAGATGAGCCTTCTAGGCCATTACCCCCATGCTTTGAAGGTAAGAAGATGAGCCTTCTAGGCCACTGCCCCCATCACCCCCATGCTTTGTTTTTCCTAATTATATCAGCACATCTTTTACATTCCAAGGCGCACAGTGGGAAAGAAACAGCATTGCACACCGCAGGAACAAAGCTGACAATGCTGTCCGAAAGCACTACCCTCAAGCTTATCCTAAGAAGAGAATGTGCACAGAGATTCATCCACAGAGTGGTCTTCATTGTGGAAAATCAAGGCAGGAGCACGTTCACGGAAAACGGGCTCACACAATAGGACACTGTACAGGTCTAAACAAAACTGGACAAGTAGAAGTGGATAAGAAATATCACAATCTAGGACTTCGGTGAGTAAAGTGGACCAAATTAAGATGTAACTTTTGTTTACTGTCCATGCTTCCACCTTTTAACGGATGAGCCATAGTTCTACCACAAGAAAAACAATCAAATGATTATAATTGGCAACTGGCAACAGGTTTCCCAGTCAGGCGAAGGGTGTGGGCAGATGGCAGGACTTGTGTGACACTCTGGACAGCTGCTTCTCAGCCACAGTGAGCTGAAGTCAAGAGATGACAGCCCCTATGCTGACGGCTCTGTGCTTTAGCATGAAACCGTCCAACTTTTAAGTGTTAGCAGCTAATTTAAAGAAACATTATGCAGTTGACCCTGAGGGAAGAGGGGCTGAAGAGAGTATATTGTAGCCTTCTGGGGTTCTAGAAACATCTTGATCTGAGGCTCAATGACGCGGGTACACGTGCAATTCATTACGCTATATGTGTAAAGTCTACGCTCTTGACTACATGCTATAACTCGACACTTAACAAGTCAAATCAAGTTTACCACATCAGAGTGTTTCACAGCATAACAGCTTATCATAACACACCATGGGATGGAGGCTCATGATCATGAACTCTCTGCATATTTAACATGGACAGAAACATGCCATGATTTAGTGACGGCTAGTCAAAGCTTGCCCTCACTCTAAGTCTGGCCCGAGCGCCCACTACCACTACACAGCAAGCACACTTTCTAGGCACAATGAAAGTTAAGTTCTCTAGAGCTCACATTTTGGGAAAGGTAAGCAGGACACACTACAGAAGCAAACATAACTTAGAGATTAGAACGTCAAAGAAAATCTTGACAACATCAAAGTGCTGTGGTGGGGAATATCTAGCTCTGTCAGGGACACTGGGCGGGACCAGTTCTGGTTTGAACACGAATGTCCCTAGGAGGCTTTCTAGTTAAAGGAGAGATCCCCAGCTGGAAACATTAATGGAGGTACTGGAGACTTTAGGGGTGCAGCCTAGAGGAATCAGTTACTGGGGTGAATGTCCTTTGGGCTGTCTGTATGTTGCTCTGCCCTCTTCCGTCTGTGACAAGGTGAGCCAGTGTTCTCTACTGTGTGCTTCCCACTGCATGCTCACCCACACCTCAGGCCTGTGACAGTGGGACCAGAACCAGCCAGCCATGGATGCAAACCTCTGAAACTCTGAACACAAATGAATCTTCCCTCCTTTTAAGCTGATTATCTGAGGCATTGGTCACTGCTGACACAAGAGAGTGACATTTAAACATAGACATAAATATTATGGAGTTGGTCTCAAGACAATAGGTAACCAGTGTAGCCCAAGAAAGGGAAATAGAAAGACTTCATACATATTAAACTTGTCAAGTAAGAAAAAAATCAGAAGGTCAGTGTGCCTGGGGCACATTGAGCAAGACAGGAGGGTGCCAAGCTGGATTTCTGAGGGCTTGAGAAGCTGCTGAGGGGGTCTGAGGCAGGAGGGCAACAGGAGCTCTTTTGTGCTTTAAGTAGCACCATTTTTATTACACTGGGCACACTACAGGTGTCAGCAGTAAAGTCTGTGACAGTGACACGGCTCCTGCAACAGCTCAGGTAAGATGAGTGCCACACCACAGTTCAATCACAGAAACAGTGTCTGGAAGAAGTGGAGACGGGTCCTGGAGGAAGAACCTGTGGAGAAAGAAGAAGCCAGGCACTTCTACATCACAGAGCATCGCACCATACTCCAGAGCAGACACCATGGCAGCAATCCACATGTCACACCGCACACAGATCATGCTGTCCAGCAATGGCACCTTGCTCTACTTGTGTGATATGATAAAGAAGGTATCCAGAATTACTTTATCCCTTGGTGGATGTTTCCAGCACTATGAAGAGAAAGGTAAAAAGGATGTCTTCACCAAGTAAGAAAAACACATTAACTTGTCACTCCAGGCCTTCAGGGCTCTAAGCAAAACACAATACAAGAGTAAACAAACTCATGTATCTGTGGCAGTTTGGTGTTGGGTAGACGACTTCACCTCTCTGAGCCCTGGTTTTTCACTGGTCCTGTCTCATAATGGTGACATATACCTTAGTGACCTTAAATGAGGCAATGCATGAACTATTTACCACACTGCTTGGCACAAGGAAGGGATGAATAATTAGTTTGAGTTCATTGTGTCCATATTCCTCATTGCCATGGCCAACTATCTGAGATAAACAAGGAGGAAAGGGGATTTGTTTTGACTCACAGGCTCAGAGATTTCATCCTACCAGAGAGGGAGGGAGGGAAGAGGGTGTGGTCAAGAAGAGCAGGTACATCACTCTACTTGGTGGGGGGGGGTACAGAGCCAGAGGTGGGGGATTATGGGAATGTGACTATCCACACGGACAGGCTTTCTCCTTCAGTCTGGAACGCCAGCCTATGGGATGTAGCTGCCCAATCAGAGTGGGTCTTCACCATTAGGCAATCCTTTCTGGGTGTGCACTCATATCTACGAGTGAGCATGACAATCAAGAGCAGCCTTCACATCATCACCTAAACACAGCTCTGCTCGTGTAAGTGACAGGATTCCAAGACAGGCAGGAATGCACCACTGCTCTCAAGGAAAGGGGGACACTGATTTGGAAGACCTGGAATCCAAAGACCCGGATGTCCACATAGACACTGGACAGAGATCTAATTCACTGTAATAGGCTATCTGCATAGACACCTGAGCTGACCTAACTCACTGAAATAGGCTGTCCCCATAGACACCAGGCAGTGATCTAATCCACAGAATTAGGCTATCAGTATAGACAGCAAGCAGAGATCTAGTCCACTGTAATCTGTTGTCTTCATAGACACTAGCAGTGACCTAAGCCACTGTAATCACAGAGCTGAGGAGACACCCTGCTCTTTCCAAGCTCTTTCCAAGAATGCTTGTTGCATGGCAGAAAAGAGCTGTGTGGCTCTCCTCATTCACAGAGACTGTACCAAAGTGAGATCACTAACCTGCTCCTTAAAACTGAAGGCCTCTCTCTGTGCCTGAGTTTAGCTCCCCTCTCTCTTCTCTCTCTCTCTCTCTCTCTCTCTCTCTCTCTCCCCCTTCCTCTCTCTCATGTACATGCTCACACCCACACA